CTGCAGATGAGCCGATGGCACTCCAGCGGCGGAGTCGCCGCGAACACCGCGCCGATGTCGTCCCCGGCGATAGTGCTCTGCGCCTTGGTCTCCTGCACGACGAGCCTGGATCTGTAGTCCGGCCGGTCGGTGTTGCCCTTGTCAATGTCAACCCAGCGCACTCTGAGGGGCCTCCGTCCGAGCTCGCGCCGGCAGTCCTCCTCCCTCGCGTAGACCCGCGCGCCGAGCTGCGCCATGACATCCATCTCCAGGCGCCTCGCGGCCTTCACCGGCGTGGGGTCCAGTGGTAGGCCGGTGAGGTCGTCATAGAAATCGGTCCTCAGCGTGTCGCGCCACCTCCCGACGAAGTCCTTCAGGCTGATCGTTCGGCCCAGCATCCAGGGCCGAAAGCGTGAGCACCTTCTTGTTCCCAAGGTGCCGGCGGATACCACAGAGGATGGCGCGGAGGAGCTTAACCGGGTACCTCTCCGCCGCGCGCATGTTTCGGCCGACGAAGGTGGAGTGCTCGCGTTTGCTGCCAATGCCAATATCATTGGGGCAGCGCTTGTAGACCTCCTCCAACACCTCCTTGTTGTTACTCATCCATCCTGTCGGCTTCTTGGCGAGCCTGTCGCCGTGCGCGTCCGCAACCACCAGGCCGAACACGCGCTGGTCGCCCCGCCCGACGTCGACGCCGGGGAGAGCCATCACGTCCTTCACAATGTCCAGGTCCCAGCTGTCCGCGCTCCAGGGGTGCTCGTGCAAGAACGTGCGGTCGTTCTTCACCTGCAGCGTGTAGGGCCCCATCGCGAACCTCAAGTGCTCGTGCCCGATGGCATAGGCCTCGCGCTGCTTCTCCGTGTCCTCGTTCAGGTACTTCAGCATGGAGAACGGCGCGCAGCGAGGACTGCCCAAGATGAACTACACCTCGTAGTGCTCGATCAGCTCCCGGCACTGTCGCTGCTGCTGGCGGTCGGCCAGGTCCCAGCCAACCCTCAAGTCGAACGGGCCGCCATGGACCGGACCGAAGAGTGGGGCAAAGCCCACGACCCTATTCGGACAGAATACCTCCATCACGTCGGCCTTGCGCCTGCTGTAGCCGAGGGAGAGCAGGAGGACACTGATATCCTCCTGCATGTTGTCGTCGCCTGGGTCGTGGGGTGCCGGAGCCATCGCCGCGTCAGCCGCCGCCGCGGCCTCAGGTGCTGGCGGCGCCCGCTGAGCTGGGGCTGGACCGCCGCTGCCGGACGAGCCGCCCTCTTGGTAGACAGGCCCGGCGACGTCAGTGCGATGCCGCTTCCGCTCGCGGGCATTCTCGAGCCTCTGCTTCGCCTCCTCGTCGTCCTGCATCGCCTGCTCGATCCGAGCGCGGCGCTCAGTGAGCCTGCGCCCGGGCGCCGTTGAGGATCGCGGCGCAGCCGTAGCAGCCCGGGGAGATCCCGTACTTCGCGATCTCGACGTCCTTCCTGATGTATAGACGGCACCGGCACACGACTTCGCCGGCCAGGGATGCTGCGTCCCCTTGGATGGAACCACCGACGCGTGGAACCAACGCTGTTTCGAATCCTTCCCGATCAGCAGCGGCGTGGCGTCCTCTCGTTCACCGAGGTGGTCGTAATCGATGCCAACCACGAGAGCGCCGACTCCTGGTGGTCCTTCGTCTGATGGCCTGCGGACAGGCCCCTGCTGGACACGCACTCCCGGCGCCATGCCCTGTAGGGCTCGTGCAGCACCTCATGCGCGGCTCGCTCGGCCGCCGTCAGCGCTGCGGGCTCCCTCGCCGGCCGTGCCGGCGGGCCCTCCGCGACCTCCTCGTGAGCCGCGCCTGGCTGGCCGGCCTCGCCCTCGGGGGGCTCGCGGCCTGCCGCTTCGACCGGGCAGACCTCCGGCACGTACGGGTCAACGTGCATGTCCATCTCGTAGACCTTGTTCCTGCGGCAGAACTTGACGACGTCTCTGGTCTTGCGATACGCGTAGCTAATGTCCTGCCCGCCCTCCGAGTCGAAGACGAGCCGATGGCCCGAGTCGACCGTCTCCGCGACGCTCGGCAACGGCTTGCTGATCACACCCTGAACTTGGCAGCGCGTGCCTGAGATGCCCCAGGCATCGCCCCCACGAGGAGCCTAACGCCCTCGTCGTTCACGTAGTGGCCGGAGGCGGTCTTGCACGAGATCGCCCGGCCACCCTCGCGCACCGGGTAGTCTGCGCACGAGCCACGCGGCAGCACCGAGGCCACCGCGCACGAGTCGATGCCCACACGCAAGATGCCGTTGAGCTCGACCTCCTCCGCATCCGAGTTGCCGTGGATCATGTTCAGGTCCAAGGCCGCGCCGATCGCAGAGTCGACCACGGCCGCCTTGTCCGGCCCCGGGTCGTAGGTGATGAGGGAGTGGAAGTTCGCGAACGGGTGGCTGGCCTGCTCGTCCGCGTCGTTCAGGTAGAGCGCGGCGACCTGCCGAGAGCTCGCGCCGGACATCGCCGTTGCCGGACTCAGCCTCGTAGTCGCAGCCGTCGAGATAGAGCTGACCGCCGATGGCGCAGTCGTGCTCGTCGACTGGGAGGCGTTGATGCGAGCCAGCGTCTGCTCCATGCTCGCCAACGCCCCCCTGTGCCTGCTTGGGCATTCGCGCTGGGTGTGGCCGCGACCGCCGCAGCCCAAGCAGAGGGGCCTAAGCTGCTGGCCATGCGACTTGCTGCCGGTCTTGCCCTTGCCGTCGGACTTGGACTTGCCCTTGCTGTCGCCCTTGCTCTTGCCCTGGCCGCCAGACTTGCCCTTACCTTTGCCGTCGCCCCTGGACTTGCCCTTTCCGTCACCCTTGGTGAACGCACTCAGATCCATGGGCACGGGCACAGGGGCGATGGCGCTCTGGGCACGGCGGATATCGGTGACCTCACGTCGGAAATGCTGCCACTCCACCAGCCTGGTCGCACTGAGCAAGAGGTGCTGGCGTAGAGGGCCTTCCTCGCGCTGCCGAAGGACGATGCCAATCCTCATGGAGGCCGTGATGGCCTCGCCGCTCCATTGCTCGTACCTGAGGAGCTCTCGCTCGAACAGCGCCAGCCGGTCCTCGACGTCGCCCGCGAACGTGAAGTTCAGGAGATTCAGCAGCTGCCCCGCGATGCGGGACCTCTCATTTGGTTCATAGTACTCGACCAGCTTGCGCCAAGCCTGGAAGCCCTCATTCTCGCCAGCTTTCACGATCGTCGTCAGAGGGTGCTGCCGGCAGAGGAGGAGTAAGATGTAATACAGCTGCTGCGAAGCCTGCCTCATATTCTCCTCGATGAAGTCGTCGATCTGGACTGAGGCCTCGTCAGCACTCTCTGCCAGCAGCATCCCTGCCAGCAGTCAGCGTTCACAACGCCACAATACGCCTTGAAGATCACCTTCCAATCGTTCCACTTGTGCTCCTCGCCCGTGAACACATCTGGCTTGCCCAGCGTACGAGTGTCCACGAGCGACTCAGCTCGAGGCTGCAGCACAGGTCCCTCCACCCGTGGTCTAGCCTCAGCCGCACGGCCGAGCCGCTGCACCTCGGCCGTGAGATCATTATCCCTCTGCTGGCGGTTCTGCAGCTCCTGAGCCATCGCCAGCAACTGCTGCTCTAGAGCGTGCATGCGCTCCTCCGCCATCTTAGCGGCGGTTCGCTCGCAGCTTCGTGAAATCCTTCAGGTGCTGGCCCAGCGCCGCCCAGGTCCTCCTGAGCCTGAACAGCTTGCGCAGCGACCGCGCCACTCTCTTCCAGCCTCGGTGGACCTCGAGGAGCTCCCACTCGTCGCCGCTGCCTCCGCTGGGCCCGGCCGGCCCTGCTGCGGCTCCCGCGCCGGCGGGCCGCCCCAGGCTGCTGGGGCTCTCCGCGCCGCAGGCGGGAGCGGGAGCCGCGGAACCCGACCCCGTAGACTGGGAGGGCCGGGACCACGGCCCCGCTACCATGGCGAGATCTGCTCTTCGGATGCTTGCCTTGATGAGTTGAGCCCGAATGTCGACGTACAGACTCTCTTACAGTAAACCTGCTGGGGTCTCTGGAATCCTGCAATATCTGTATACATATATATATATACACACATATATACATATATATATATGCACATATATATATATATATGTATATTCATATGATTATAAATATGTATACATATGTATATGTATATGTATATGTATATGTATATGTATATGTATATGTATATGTATATGTATATGTATATGTATATGTATACGTATATGTATATGTATATGTATATGTATAAGTATATGTGTATGTATATGTATATGTACATACATAGAAATATGTGTGTGTGTGTCTGTGTATATATCCGCCTCCGTGCCCTGAGGCACGAGTTGGAGTGTCCTCAGGTCCTTGGCCGAATCCCTTAAGCCTCGGTCCTCGATCCTGAGGATTCTTTTACGGGCCTGGACCCCGAATTCTCGAATTCGTTGGCGCTCCCAGCGTGCCCTTTGGGGCGCGTCGCGTCCTGTCGCGTGACCTGTTCGGGCCCGAGAACTCCCCAAGACGGGCCAAGAGGGCCCCAAGAGGCCGCCCAGACTGTGCAAGAGGGCCCCAAATCGCCGCACGATCGGCCCAATCCGCCCAAGATGGCCCCAAGACGGCCGGAGAAGCCTTCGAGGCGCCCCAAGAGAGCCCTACGAGCCTTCCCAGGAGGGCTCCGAGGAGGCCAGAATCATGCATTTCGTTGGTTTTCCAATGTAACCGTCCCAAGAGGGCCCCCAGATGGCCTAAGAGGGATCCAAGACAGCCCAGAGGCGCCCAAGACGGCCGAAGAAGGCCCAAGGACAGCCTTGAGAAGGGCCCAAGAAAGTGAACGCGAATCGAACATCCAAATCTTCCGCCCCAAGAGGCCCCAGGAGACCACAAACCACAAGGAGGCCCCAAGAGGCCCCCGAGAGGCCCAAAGAGACCCCCAAGAGGCCCCCAAACGCCCTAAGAGGCCCCCAAAAACGGTCCCCACAGAGGCCTCCAAACGGCCCCCATGAGGCCCCCGAGGGATGGGCCGAAGGCCATTAGATATATCACGCTAACATATGCGAGCCTTCGCCGGAAACATTATGCGCAAATTCAGTTGACTGTCCTTATAATGCCCACTACACGGTGCGCGGTGGCGGTTGCGAACGTAGTTCCATGCGCGCGCCTGTGCGGAGCCAATCGCCCGCAGTCCCACGGCGGCCCTCGCTCCCGCGTGAGGGCGGCCGCCGCGGCATCCGTCGGGGGCTCTTCCGGAAGACAAGGGAGGGGGGGGAGGAGGACGAGCGGGTGCAGGAGGAGGGGGAGGAGAGGAAGGAGGGGGAGGGGGACCGGAGTACAGTGGGGCGTTGACCTAAGGAACCCTAAATAAGGAACGAGGCCTTTTTTTTGTTTCCATAAATTAAACTTCGATTTCCGATCGAAAACATAAGGAAAACCGGAGGCAAGCTGTGAAACACGTAAGGAACGCGGAGCCCCTCCCCAACGAAAAGGGTTCCTTCTTCCCAGACCCCCGACGTCATGATTTTTTCATGACGTCGACCCCCCGAGGTCTCGACCCATTCCCCGGGACCGGTTTTTCGTCCTGAGTCGTTTTTTGACGCTCCCGAGGCCCGGTGAGGGCCCCCGGAGGCCGAACATTAGGAAAAACCTCCCGTCATGATTTTTTCATTCCTCGAGAGGGTCTGGGTTCAGGGCCCCGACTGTAAGCCCAGGACTTGCGCTGCGTCGGCGATGCCGCGCAGGAGGAGGAGGAGGCGGAGGAGGAGGAGGAGGAGGAGCAGGAGGAGGAGGAGGAGGAGGAGAGGAGGAGGAGGAGGAGCAGGAGGAGGAGGAGGAGGAGGGAGGAGGAGGAGGAGGAGGAGCAGTCCGCTCCCCCGTCCCGCCTCCCCTCCGCACGAGGGTCCAGCAGAGACCCCGACAAACGAACGCCCCGCGGGCCTGCCCTTATCGCAAAACCCTTTTTTGTTTTGTTTTGTTGTCGTCTTTCCTTTTGTTATTATTGTTGTTATTCTTATTTATATGTATTACTAGTAGTATTATATATATATATGTGCAGATATGTATACATAGACATACACATATATACATATACACACATATATATATATATATGTATATATATATATATATATATATATATATATATATTCTCATACGCACCTCTCCGAGGGAGTAGAGCTCAGAGGCGATTAGTGCGTCCGTCGTTCGCGATTTTTCTGGCCGTTTCGCTCGGGACATCCTCGAAATTCTGAAAATCGGTGGCACCCCTCACGCAGATCGTGACGTCAGGGTCCAAAAACACATAGGATTTCCAACATTTTATCATAAAACCTTCAAAAACACATGGTACTTTCAATGATTTTGACTCCGATTCTCAGAGAATGGCGGTTTCGCCTGAGACATCCTCCCAAAATCGAGCCCCAGACCCCTCCTCGGAGCCTCCTGGGGGCCTCCTGGAACCTCCTGGGGCCTCCTGGGGCTTTCTGGACCTTCTGGTACCCCAGACCCCGCCTCGGAGCCTCCTGGAGTTCTCCTGGGCCTGCTGAGGCCGCCTGGGGCCTCCTGGGGCCTCCTGGGGCTTCAGAACTACATGCACACACAGAGACACAAATCACGCCCAACACATCACACGCTAGACAAACATAACATACACACACACACACACCACCGACAACACGCAAAAAGCACGCACCACACAAAGCACACATCACACACACACACACACTCACAATCCTGGGGCCTCCTGGAGCCTCTCCTGGTATCCAAGTCGGGCCTCCTGAGGCTTCCTGGGGGGCCCTGGTACACACATCGCAAGGTGTGGCAACCCCACTTGCGCTCGAGTGCGACTTCGCTGTTGCATGTCACTCCTGCTTCAAACGCCCCTTCAGCTTGTTGTATGAGCCTGGGCACACACGTGCCACTTGTATCAAAATGCACATGTACATATACATATATACATACATACATACATACATACATACATACATGCATGCATGCATGCATGCATGCATGCATGCATGCATACATACATACATACATACATAAATACATATATACATACATACATCCATACATATATTCCTTTTCCCTATCAAATGATAAGGGACCCCCCCCCGGATGGGCGTCACCTAATTCGCCCCCCCCCGGGACGGGCTCAAGACAACCCCGAGAATGCCTGAAATTACCGCCAAGCTGGTCCGACCGGCGCCAGAAGCCTTCCAAGACGCCCACAGATCGCTCTAAGATGCCCCAGTTCGTCACAAGACGGCCCAAGAGGCCTCCAAGACGCCCCACATGGCCCCAAGACGGCTCAAGACGGTGCAAGAGACTCCCAAGACGGCCCCGGAGACCCTCAAGACGGCTCAAAGAAAGGCTCCACGACAGGATCCGACCCGACATTTCGGCCCCTCGGCTCCAGGATACCCCCCAGACGGCTCGAACACAGCCCCAGGAGGCCCCCAAGAGGCCCCAAGAGGCCCCCAGGACGTCTGCGAGAAGCCATCCATGAGGCCTCCACGAACAGAGACGACGTATACAAACC